GAGGCCGAGAGGTTCGAGGACCTCACCACCACATCACAACACTCCACACCACCAGTACTCACCACTATCAGTATTATTACAAACATCAATAACACTCGTCTTGAGAAGGGAATTGTTGATTTTAGGGGAAATGTGAGAATATGGCTATTAATTTGTAAATACTTTTTTCTTAAAATCTATCTATCTATCTATGATGGTAGGTGAAGTACAATACAAATACTGTACTGTACTGCACTGTACGATTTCAAACATTTTGTTTGTGATTAATGTTTCAGTTCTTGAAATTTGACTCTGCGACCATTTTCTTGTGAAAGCCCTTGGTGTTGTGAGTTGGCTGTAGACTGACATTTGCGGTGTTTCCTGATGATGTCATGATGATGATGATGTTTCTGTGTCTTTGTGAAGAATGACGGTTGGTGTACCTAGACTGCAGATTCCTCAAGATCTCAACGTATCCCATCTGTATCTTCCTCACGCACACACCTACTCATTCTCAACACGCACGCTTTGGAACTAAACAATACGCCAAACACACAGATTCATAAGTGTCCACTTCTTCTGAAAAATGAGCTTGATAATGAACTTGATAGGTGCTTTATTGTTATTAAGAATGTTTTTGCCCAAACAGGAGCAACTGTTTCTACACTTGCAGATTCCCACTTACCCTGACAACTTCATTTCTCAACTCCATTATTAGCTAAATCAATAGCTCTGTTATGTACACAGTATTTGGGGATTAATCTCTTGAATGTTATGACACCATACTGGTACCATGCATATTGTCTTGGACAGTGGAATGTGCTGTTGCTCCCACCTTGATATTGATAGTGTGAACATAACGTATGTCTGTGTGGGTGTGTGTGAATGCGAATTTACCACAAGGCATCACTAGCCTCTGCTCTCTTTAGGGGATTAGAGAATGGAGAATGGATGCAGGATGCTTTACATTCAGCACACTGAACTAGTCTCTTTTTAATATACGGTCCCAATGATATCTGCCTGCATCCTCTGCTGCTTGTGTTTCTCCCTTCATATATTTCTCTGTGAAAGCTTTGCTGAATAAAGGTTTGGGGTTCTGTGAACATGGCATGCACCATCTAATACTTTTCTGTGCTAAAAGATGAGGGAAAATGTAAACTGCCAAATAAAAGAACCAGTTATCTACACATCCTGAGAATCACAGTCTTCCCCCAGTTGATTTTCGTTCATGTGTCAGTCTACCCATCAGGCACACGCAAGACTTAAGTTCTTCCACTAGGTGGCAGTGTCAGATTCTTAAAGCTAAAGAAATCAAGCTGGAGCCCATACCAATCCAAAAGGAGGGCAAGGTTCACAATATGCCAAATACAAATATTGAATATAATAATGAAAACACTGATAGAATTTAGATAATCATAAAGAATCATGTCATGAAGATACATATTATTTTAAATTAATTTAAATAACAGCCTAATTTAGAGGGAGCAAGGTTTGTGTCATTCATCAGCACTTGAAGGACATCAAATGCAGACACTTTTGTATATTGTGCTCTGAATTGACTTATATTTTGTGTCTCAAAGGAAGAACAATATATTTCATTTATTATTAATACCACATGGCTTTAGCCCTCAGGAAACAAATCCCAGACAGTGACTGCCCCTCTTGGAAGCCTGAGGTGCTGCATGGATAGTTAAAAAAAACTCACTTAAATAGTGAAGCCCTAAAGATCTGTGTCACTCAGACTGGAGCAGAAACAACACCACAGAGCTGAACAGTGATTTATTACTCCAGCTGTCTGTGTGTTGTTGTTACTTTTTAACCACTTTCCTCCAGTGTCCCCATCCTGTTCACACTATTGTCTCCTTTTTAGACCAACCCAAGCTGGTGAGGTCAGGGCAACATTGTAAAGGATTTCCTCTGGCTCTTAATGATTTCCTGGGTATTCATAAGGGCAACAATGCTCTAAGATTTGGTTACTTACCTGGCACACAGTAGAGGAATTGCCTTTCAGTCAATAAGCGGGACCTTATTAGCTGATGATTAACTCATACGGAATTGCAACAAAAAGGTACCTGCAGATTATATGTCATTTGGAAAGATATGGTCTTAAAATCGGAGGGCTTATAATAGGACTATTCAGCATTATTATAGAAGAAAATATCCACCTAGTATACATTATAAAAACATTCCAGAGAATTAAAAGAGCAAATGAAACAGAAACAAACACTTTGGTTTAAATCCATGTTTTATACTTTTAACTCAATTTATTGGTACAAAAATATTACAAATAGATACAAGAATGCAAGTTTCCGATTCCCAAGTGGTTAGTTTTCCAACAATGGCACATATAATATGCATATCGATCTTCCATGAGTTCTGATGTCACTAAAGAAGCAGACCAAATTAAGTAACTCTAAATTATGTTAAATACAGACATCCATGCTCAACAAATGTAGAGGTTTCAGTATGTGGTCTACAAAATATTACCTCTACATTTGTGCTTAAAGTAAATCTATTCATGGCCCGTATGTCATATGTCAGTCCTCAACCTGGAGACAGTGCATGTTAACTAAATTAGTTTTCAATTTCAATGAATAACATAAAATCCTTTCTTAAGAAGAGTAATGGCATATTGAGAGGAAACGACACCATTCAAAAACCTCTCTCACTTTATACTAAATAAAATAAAATCAGTTTGCTTTGTTCCCCTGTGTCTTATTGTCATAAAAACAGAAGAGGCAGGTTGTCCGGCCTAGTCTGTGGTGGGCACAGCTCAGCTGTTGCCTTCAGTCCAGCTGTTAGCTTCAGAAGGCCCCAATCTCTGTGCCCCAAGGCCTGTAAGGCTTTGAGAGGGTGGAGGAGGGGCTCACTGTGCTGAGGGCTGACTGGGAGACTAGGGGAAAAGCACCAAAGGAGAGGGGGAAGGCCGACAACGAGGAGAGGGATGAAAGGAGTGGTGGTGATAGCTTGGATGTTGGCACGGGCAGACTGAGGGACAGCGAGCCATTGGGGGGCACCCTGAGGGACTCTGTGGGGGACATGACACTAAGTCTGGACGTCCCAGATGCCTCAGTGGAGGAGGAGGAAGATGTAGAGGAGGAAGATGAAGAGGAGGAGGAGGAGGGTGGGCTGCTGTTGCTTCTGGATGCAGGTGTCCTGCCCTGGGGGTGTGGAAGGAGGAGGGCGTGGGGGAGATGGGCAGGGGCTGTCCCGTAGGCAGAGCCCCAGGCCAAGTGTTCCAGTCCAGCGTGCACCTCCCTCTGAGAGGCGTAGTTGCTGAGGTGGGACACCAAACGTATACGGAGGGGGTCTGCACTCTCCCGACCCTCTACGATGCTCAGGTAGCGGGCTGTCTCTGCCAGGCACTCCCTGAAGCCCAGGCTGCGGTAATCCTTAGCAAGAGCATGAGCTTCAAAGTAACCTGTCAGGAAAGGAAACCAGACAGTTAGAAGCGTGGTTTACAGCATATTTTCTCATTTTGAATTAGGGAAAATAACCATTAATTTAATTTATTAAAAGAAAGGGTCTGCTACCTTTGCCACCAGACGCATGCAGCATCTTCAAATGGTCCACAGTCATTTGCAAGATTTCTGCTTTTTCCAATTTAGCTGATCCCTGTGAATACATAGAAAATAATAGTGTCACTTTTATTGATACTGATATTTACAATCCATCTAGAAAAAAAACATACATGAGCAAAGGTGCCCATTATGAAAGGACAGAAGTATGGCCAATTTACCTGTTTCTCAAAAGCACTTGGCACCAGTCTTCTCAACTCTGACAGGCTATTATTGATTCGGTCACGTCTCCGTTTCTCGATTATCTGTGAATGGGTAAAACAAACAACAATGTAACAGAGGTAACAGGTGGTAGGAAAACAGTGGGATCTCTCAGACAGCAGCGCAGTTTGGCACCAGAGATAATGAGTTAACTTACCCCTCTGCGCCTTTTTCTGGCTTGAACTTGTGTGGTTGTGGAGGGTGACATCGAGCCATGAGAATCAAGTTGACTGAGAAACAGCAATGAGAAAATGAAAACAATTTAAAATACACATGAAAAAGAGTCACAGTTATTGAATTACAGAAAAAAAAAATGCCTTAGAAGATATGATAATGATCTTAAAAAGTGAACATACCCATTTTCGTCGCCACTATCCTTCTCCACCTCAACATTGTCGTCCAGGTCGCTGTCCGAGGAGCTGTAGTTGTGGCTTCGCTTCATTTTGGATCCAAGTCTTCAGTGATCAGCAGTCCTCCTTGCACAGAAAGGTCCAGTGGTGCACTGACAGCAGAAGGGTCTGTGCGACAGTTTAAACGTCAGATCTGGCTCCTCTGCTGTGATCACTTTCACACCGCGGAAAGAAGGGGGAGAGGGCGGGGTCCCGGGGATGATTTGGGCGGTGCTTGAAAGGAGTTAAGCCTGTAAAAGTCGGGGTGGAATTTGAGTGACATTTGTATTATAAAAAAAACACACATTTTAAAATCAATGTACATGGTCTCAGAGGAAAGCTCTCCTTCATGTTCATTGATTTTTTAATTTTATTTTTGCTGAAACTTACTAATGCAAGGATTTAAATCAATATTATATAACCTTTTAAAAGCATGATTTTTTAATATATGTCTTATAGAGAGTACTGGGTCCTTTTTACTGTGCTTGACAGCTCAGACTGACCAGTAGACTCCTGGCCTCAGGTCCCCCATAGCTTTCCTGCTGAGACCCCAGCTCATAAGCAACAAGCCCCATTATAGTGGGAGCCCTCTTCTTCTTTGGTGTTGTGGAGGACACACGGCCTATTAGCAGAGTGTGTTGTTCATTGTCTGCTGTCAGCTGTGTGGTTCCACAACAGCATTGATCAGCCGGGAGGCCCAACATTAGTCAGCCAGCGTTGCCAGGCTCTCCTAGGAAACCCCCCTCTTCCCCCCAGTCACTGCAAACAGGTCAACCGACTGGCGCAGAGAGACCTTCCCAGGGAATCATTCATCCACTGTGGGTGAAAACATTGAATCTGTGTGTTTTTATTAGCTCAAGCTACACACAACCATTGATAAATGTTTAGTTTATGATCTACATTTTTTTTTTAAAAAACATACAAACTTACAAAGGTATGAGTACCACGGCATAAGGCTGTCACTCTGGATGGGGAGCAGGGGTGGTCTGCAGGAGGTGTGAAAATTTTGACCTCACTAATACGCTTGGGTCAAAAGGCAAACTATATAAAACACAGTAGCTTTCAATGTTTACGTTCCACTGTGTAACTGATCCCTACTGGCTGTTTTTCTTGTATGTATTAAGAAAAAAGAGACATGAGATACAGATATTTCTGATATATAAAGGCAAATATTAATGTTATGTTGTATGCATACTAATAAAAACATCACCCAGTAGTGGAAAGCATTCTGTAGGCCTATATTCATTCAAATGTACATCATTGTTTCCATTTTATGTTTCTTTTTACTCCACTACGCTTATGTATTAGATAAAGTTACTGGTTACATTACAGATGAGACTTTTACAAACAGAACAAACTGTATGATCATTTTATAAAATAAAGTGCACTGCAGTGTACAGATCAGTTAAAATTCACTTCAACCAATGACAACATTGAAGTACTGCTTACATTTTGATAGATGAATAATAATTATACTATATATCATTCCCAGAGGTCGCTCTGGATTATGATCTATTTTGTTGCCAAGATTTCTGTACTTTCACTCAAGGAAATGAATGCAGGATGTTTACTTGTAATGTTTTTTATAGCGTGGTATTGTCACTTTAACTTGAATAAAATATCCATATACTTCTTCCAACTCTGCCATCAAGACAGATAAAACACATAAAAAACCATAACAGTACCGATATAAAAACAGCAGTCAAATGTCTGTCTTTTCTCTGAAGGTCTGGGAAACAGCAGTACTTGAGGCTGGTATAATTCCTGCATCAAGACATGTCTGGTAAGACCATCAGTGGGAGCGTGACCCCCCCCCCCCTGCTGTCTTCCATTCCAGTACCTTGTTGAGCAGCAGCTGTTTCTCCGCTCTGTCCGTCAGGTCAGTTGTTAACTTGGTGCGTTGGGAGCTAGACAAGTGCGGATGAGAGCTTGATTCCAGGGAGCAACTGCAGGCCAACACGCTGTTCCCAGAATGTCAGAGGGGTTTCGGTGGTGACAGATACAATGTGCGAGCTTCAGTCATTCTGTTGATGCAGTGAGTGTGGATGAGCCTTCAGACTACTATCCCTGACACGCAGGCATAGAGCCCCCACCCTCTACCTCCCCCCTTGTCAGAACACACTTTCACTAAAAACCATGCCTACCTTCACCCATTTCATGCATTTCAACACTCCCATACTCCCACTCGGTCGATTTATAGACCTTAACATGTACGTAATCCAGTGCAGAAAAACTCCTAGGGGCCTGCATACTCCCTTTTTTGGACAATGTTTCTCATGTAGGCATCTATATTGCTCTTCACTGCAGAAATTTCGGTGCTCGTAGGAGAGATTTGTACAGATGCTTAGCCAGGTCAGTACAAGGCTTCTACCGTATACCATACATGTCCTTTCCATGACTTTTTGCTGATAGGCAGTTTGAATATATTTGGGATCACTTCAGTATTGTTTATGATGCTATTATGGTAATAGGGCTCTACAGTGCCACCAGCTTCACGGGGAGGGCGGGTTCATGTGGTCTCCATTAAGCAGACACAAACCACTCTCTTCACACCTGACTGTCAAGGTCCTTCACATTAGCTCTGACATTCCTGTGCTCCATTAAACATAATTATGATTTTTCTTCCAAAGACCTTGACCTTTCACCTGTGGCATCACAACATGTTCTCAGCCTCCACTCCAGTTTACTTTTAATGATTTTGGATGTGAGTTCTGTGAAATTTCCCATCCTGTTTGAGTGTGTTTGGTTTGAGCTCTTTTGTCTGTGATGTGATTGCCATGTTACTCTAAATGATCTTTACATTTAATAACCCAAAGAACATGCCAGTCTGCCTGTTGACCGTGGGCCTTACTCTGCACCAATTTGAAGAAACTACTCTCAAACCAGTGCCAGGAAGCTAAGAGGTATAAGCAAGCATTTGTTTGAAACTGGCGTGTGCCCAGCTGCCTTCCTCAATCTTCCCTTAGGTTTCCCTTGGTGACTCTTTGTGTGCAAGAGTGCGGCCTGAGTGTGTGCTGGTGTGTCTGCATGTGTTTATGTGTGTGTGACTGAGAGTGTGCAAGTGTGTTTAGGAGGTGCTGTTTCCCACAGCCCTGATCTAATTCCGTGGTAACTCAATCTCCGTGTGAGCGCTTCCCGGCGAGTGTTCTCCCACCCGTCGACAGTCTCTCTCTGGCTGGCTGAGTGGCTGAGTGTGTCTGACAGAGGCCGGCTCAGTCCCATTGGACCCCCACCCCCTCCAGCCTCTGTCCTACCACCCCTCCCATCAGGATTGATTTACTATGTCAACCGTTGGGGCTGTCGGCAGCAGCGACGTTCGCAGCCGTGCCTGCATCCTGTGTGCACACCATCCTGACATCTTATACCTGTCATTCAACAACTGCTCCAGTGGAGTTTGCATTTGTGTGTGTGTTGAGGAGGAGGAGGGGGGCATTTGGGGAACATTTCTGTGTGTGAGATCATGCCTTGTACATGCTTTATTCAAACAGAGTGGAGGTGGACGTAAAAAGGTTTTATCCACTTTGCTGCATATATACATGAGCTATGACACATTATGTAAGACAGAGAAAATGCCACCCATGCTGGTCCTAAATAGCTTGTCTGACTGAGGGAAATGTCTCCCAGACAACTTCCATATAACAATGTTATCCTATGGGCCACAGCTTCCTGCCTGTTCCCCCTGGTTCCAGTCAGCACCCAGGCGCTATATTGGGCAGGGACCAGACCAGGCCTGAGACCCATTCTCACATAATACAGCCGCCTTCTCATTCTTTACTTTCCTGCCTTTGTTGGCATCCATTCTCCTTGTGCTTTTTGGATAGGTAAACCCAGGGAGGATGTGTTGACTTCCTTGTTTCTTTGTTTAGCAGGAACCTTTTTTATAATCTTTTTTTTCTGAAGACAACTCCTCAGGTCATAACTGACACCAGGATCTCAGCACTGGCTGCCAATTACAGGGCTTAGAGTCAATTACAGGCCATGGACAGCATTTAGGAAATATTCGAACAATACTTTGAAGTCTGATATGGACAACCTTGTGTGCTGGCTTGAGAAAAGTGTGGATGAGTCACTCTTGAATGAGTAAAAATCTATTTCATTAGTTTCTCCCCACTCCTTCACAATGGGCCCAACAATTATATTGTTCATAACCAGTATGCTGCCCATTACCAGTTAACTTATGCAAGTCCACAATTAGAGGGAAAGCAGATCACAAGACTGGTTCCCAAATAAGCGCAACAGGAGACGGCACGTGATGTCCACACAGAAAAAGGAGGACCACGGAGCAAGCTACTTTTAAGGCCACACATTGTGTTGCCACAGGAAAAACATTGTTTGCATATCAATGGAGTGTGTGTGTGTGTGTGTGTATGTGTGTGTCTGGCTCTAATTGAAATGTATCTCCTGGTTTACATCATGCAAAAGGAACTTCACAGGCACTGGCCATAGGAATTATTAGTTAAATCAAGCTGTAGATGTTGATAATGACTTCTCTCTGCTTGTGGTGTGTGTGTGTGTATGTGTGTGTGTGCGTATTGTTGTACAAGACATATAATTGGTCACTGCCAGGGAAAATCTATGTTTTAGAGTAGGTCTGTCACTGAAGGTTAACTATGTTATGAGTTAGTATTTTATGTTACGTCAAACTAGGTCACGTTTTTTTATGGGGTCTTGTGTGTAGTGTCATATTTGCCTAACACAATTTAGAATAAAGCGTGGCTATAAAAACTGATATTTTTAAACAGAGAAACAAGAGTCAGTTTATGGTGTGTCACAAGTTTATCAAAAAGAAATGCTGTTTTTTTTGTTTTTCAAGCCGGCTCCTTTCCCAGTAGATGCTCTGTGCCAGCTGTCTGCGCTGCAGTAAAGCACTGCTTTCCCAAGCTCCGACCTGTGGGAAAATCTGTTGTGGCCAGTAATTGATTCCGCCCTGCCAGCCCCATTACTCTCCACTGCAGTCAAACTGCCAGTGATCTGCAGAAAGCCTGTTAGCACAGCCCCTTTACTCTCTTTTCTCTCTCTCCCACTCACACAAACATGCATCAGAATCCCACCAAGTCCTACTGTTAATGCCATCGGTAATTCTGTCTGTCTTTATATACATTATTTTTTACTAATAACTCACAAGTTTTGTACAATTTTTCTTTGTTCACGTTTTTTCCATTTATCATATGTCAA